TGTCTTCAGAGCAGAGGTGCTCCAGCCCCCTCCTTAGGAGACGATGAGGGAGGTTGGGAGATGCCCTGTGCTTTAGGAGGGATGAGGGATGTCAGGGTCGTTGTGGTTTAGAAGGAGATGAGGTTGGTTGGGGCTGCCCTGTGGGTTAGAAGAGAGTGAGGGCAGTTGTGGGAGACGATGGGTTAGGAGGGGTGATGGTGGTTGGGGCTGCCCTGTGGTTTAGGAGGGGGTGAGGGAGGTTCGAGGGTGTCCTGTGCTTTAGGAGGGGTGGGAGAGGTTGAGAGGGCCCTGTGGGCTCAGAGGAGTGAGAGGGGTTGTGGGGTGCCCTGTGGTTTAGGGGGGGGTGAGCTGAGGGGTGTCTGAGCTGAAGGCTGCTCTTCCTCCCTGCAGGGAAGCCAACCCTGTACGGCAGCCTGACCCGCCGTGGGCTCAGCACCGAGGGCGTCCCTGACATCGCTGCCTCCGAGGGCTTCGTGGTTGGGGCAGTCACCAAGGTGCCAGGGCTCGGGGGGAGCGGGGAGCGGTAACCATCTCCCACGGGTGAAGGGGTGACACTTGTGCCAGTCAAAATGGTAACTCAGAGCTGTCTCCTAACCAGCTGTCTTGTGCCCACTGCCTGTGCAGTTCCCTGGATCTGGTCTGTACCATCCCATGGTCAGGCTGGAGTTGTGTCACAGCTGGCCTGGTCGTAACGGCCATCACTTGCTGCCCAGGACCTGCGTTTTGAGGACATGTAAGGAGACAAACCCAATGCTGCACCTTCCGTCAGTCTTCAGGCTGCGAGAGAAGACAGCCAGGTCCAGCTCGTGGTTCTGCCTTCGCAGTAGGACTAACAGCACTTCTAATTGGTTTTTTCCTCTCTTTATTCCTCTAGAAAAGTATTCTTGTTTCTTGTCCTCACGAAAATGTGTCCACAAAGTTCCTGGCGCCGTACACAACTTTCTGTAGAATTCATCAGAAAAGTGTAAGTAGCCTTGTGAGGTGAGTGGGAAATAGCTGGAAGTGGCCATGAGCTTTCACAACGTGTCCCACCGTTGCGTGCCGCTTCTGAGGGGTGGCCTGCAGCATGACTGTGTGTGAGCTGGGTAATAAAACGTATCATGGAATCAAGGAATGGTTTGGGTTGGAAGGGACCTCAAAGATCATCCAGTTCCAACTCCCCTGCCACAGGCAGGGACACCTTCCACTACACCAGGTTGCCCAAAGCCCCATCCAACCTGGCCTGGAACACTGCCAGGGATGGGGCAGCCACAGCTCCTCTGGGCAACCTGTGCCAGTGCCTCACCACCCTCAGAGGGAAGAATTTCTTTTTTAGATCAGACCTAAATCTCCCCTCTTCCAGTTTAAATCCATTGCCCCGTGTCCTGTCACTACATACCCATATCCAAAGCCCCTCTCCAGCTTTCCTGTAGCCCCTTTAGGCACTGGGAGGTGCTGGAAGGTCTCCCCGGAGCCTTCTCTTCTCCAGGCTGAACAGCCCCAACTCTCCCAGCCTGTCTCCAGACCAGAGGTGCTCCAGCCCTCGGATCATCTCCGTGGCCTCCTCTGGACCTGCTCCAGCAGCTCCATGTCCTTCTTGTGTTGGGGACCCCAGAGCTGAACGCAGTATTCCAGGTGGAATAAAGGCAGTTCTGCATCTCTGCAGCTGTTTTAAGAGGAAGTGGGGCTCTGCTGAGGGATGGAGCTTGAGATGGATCACTGCTTGGAGCTCTGCTACTTCAGAGTCCCCAGCTGCCCTGCTGTGTGATAAATGGAATCAACATTCCAAGCACATCCCAATGGGAATGCAGGCTAAGTGCTTAGGCCGCTGTCAAAGGGGTGTGAGGGGTTACAGCTGCATGTCTCTCCTGATCTCTCTGCTGAAGCAACATCTATTAGCATGTAGATGAGCTTAAAGCTGGTGTGGACTGGACTCCAGTGAGCCTTTCTACCTGCTGCCTCTACTGAGCACTCATGCTTGGCCTTGCCTCTTTACGTATCCCTTCTGGAAGTCTGGTGATATGTCAGACGTCAGGGAGGCTTTTCCTTCCTGCACCAATGACCTTCACAGGCTTTTTTTTTTAACTAGGGAGCAAATCACCACAGATTTTGTTATGTGAAATGCCACTCATGCTACCAGTGTCTTTCTCACATTACCAGTGTGTAAGTAAACGCACTTAATGGCTGTCATAATGGCTAAACCAGCACCTCGTGCTCTTAGTTAAATCTTCTCATTCCTGTTTTCATTCCCAATTATTTTTTTTTTTTTAAGTGGAGGTGGAGTGTTGGTGCGGCACCCTCTTAAAGTTAGCTGTGATTTGAGCTACAGGAGGGCAGTTTGGTCTGACTCTTGCTTGGATAGTTGAACTTATGACTGAAGTGTGGCATGTTGTGTCCTCACAAGCCCTGGCTGATGTGTGTGCAGCAATAGGATGCCATAGGACACCGTCTGGAACATCTGGAAACAGATGCACATCTGTAACGTACTTTGTCTGCTTAAGGGCATCATCCTTAAATCTCAGGCCTGTAGCTGTCATCTTTCTTGGCAGAGTCTCTCAATCTACCCATATCTTTGGGCTTCCTGGTGAACATGGCAAAAAATCCAACTGTCTCTTCAGGCCGGCTGCTGGCTAAGGCTGAGCACATGCAAGAGGATCGACAGAACCCAGTTCTGTTTGAGAAGAGTTAATTGTTCAGAAAAGCATTTAATCTGAAGCCTGGGTCGAATCATAGAATCGTGGAATGGTTAGAATTGGGAGGGACCTTCAAGATCATCCAGTTCCAACCCCCCTGCCATGGGCAGAGACACCTTCCACTACACCAGGTTGCCCACCCACCGGGGCCTGGACCCCGGCCGGGGGGGGGGCAGCCACAGCTTCTCTGGGCAACCTGTGCCAGTGCCTCACCACCCTCAGAGGGAAGAATTTCTTCCTCAGATCCCATCGAAATCTCCCCTCTTTCAGTTTAAAGCCATTGCCCCGTGTCCTGTCACTACACACCCTTGTCCAAAGCCCCTCTCCAGCTTTCCTGTAGCCCCTTTAGGCACTGGAAGGTGCTGGAAGGTCTCCCCAGAGCCTTCTCTTCTCCAGGCTGAACAGCCCCAACTCTCCCAGCCTGTCTCCAGAGCAGAGGTGCTCCAGCCCTCGCATCATCTCTGTGGCGTCCTCTGGACCTGCTCCAGCAGCTCCATGTCCTTCTTGTGTTGGGAAATCTGGATTTCTACTTCACCTGGGGTACACCTGAAACGCAGCTGCTGTCTGTGCAGACTTCTGACTCAGCATTTCTTTTTCTCCCTGCTCTGCAGAGCCACAGGCAGAGAATAACAATTTCTCTGTCGAATCTGGTGGCAATGACAAGAAATCTGGGTGCTCCGTGCCAGGTTCCAGTCACCCAGCTCACCTGAGCCCTGGCTGTGGGACAGCCCGAGTCACCAGCTCGCTCTCGAAGGGAGAATGCAGCGATCTGTGAACAGTTCAGTTGAGGACAACTCCTTTTTGCACTGCCTTTGTCTTCCAGAAAAAAGCCTGATGCTCAGGATCAGGCTGATTACTTAGAGGCTTAATTAGTGTCTCATAAAACTGACTGAGAGGTTGAGGAGAGCAGCCTGTGAAGTCCTTGCATAAGGCTGTTCAATTTAGAAGACAGTGTTATCAGGCTGAAACTGTTGAGCACATGGAAACTCTTTTAGTGTTTTAAATGAGCCTAGCAGTGTGTCTCGGGAAGATAATAGTGCTGGATTTTGTTCTTGGCAGGTCTCCACCAGTACAGGGCTAGGCTCTGGAGCAGAAATACCTATACACAAGGTCATGTAAAGCTAATGCTTGGTGTTTTCACCCTCCTGCAGATTACCTGTCTCGATATCTCCAGTGGTGGAGGGCTCGGCGTGTCTGCCAGCACAGATGGGACCATGAAAATCTGGCAGGCTGCAAACGGAGAAATCAGAGTAAGAGCGTCTGGCTTTGATGTTCTGTGTTGTCTGTGACGTTATCGGAGTCATTTGTCTGTGAATTCGATCAGGCTGTCCGCATGCCGTGGTCTAGGACAGGCAGGAGTCTGGCTTTTGATTGAAAAGCTAATTGGAATTTGCCATCTCCGAGGTTTTAAGGCAAATCATAGAGTCACAGAATGGTTTGGGTTGAAAGGAACCTCAAAGACCATCCAGTTCCATCCAACCCCCCTGCCATGGGCAGGGACACCGTCCACTACACCAGGCTGCCCAAAGCCTCATCCAGCCTGGCCTTGAACACTTCCAGGGATGGGGCAGACACAGCTTCTCTTGGTAAACCTCTACACCATCACAGCTTCTCTGGGCAACCTGTGCCAGTGCCTCAGCACCCTCAGAGGGAAGAATTTCTTTTTTAGTTCCGACCTAAATCTCCCCTCTTTCAGTTTAAATCCATTGCCCCTTGTCCTGTCACTACACGCCCTTGTAAAAAGTCCCTCTTCAGCTTTCCTGTAGGCCCCCTTTAAGTACTGGAAGGCTGCAATAAGATCACCCCGGAAAATCTTTCCAAATCTGTTGGAAAGCAGGAATTCTCCCTAGGGAAATGATGCTCAGCAATCTGGAGACAAGTCCCAGTTTGAAAAAGAGAATGGGTAGTTGGGAATGACAGCTGGAGTGCAGAAGGTCACTGGCAGCTCCCAACCTGCCTGGTACAAGCACTGAATTTCCTCACCGCTGAAAGAAGTGAGGGGAAAAAAGACTCCTGCCCATGGTGGATTAACCCCATCATGGCTTGCAGCTTTCCCAGTTAAAGTGTTTCTTGTGGAGCTTGACCTGTCAGCTGCTTGTTGGGCAGAGGATAGAGGCATTTAACCTGTTATTAGAAATAAAAGTAGTATCTTTTGCAGATAATTAGCAGAGGGTCGCCCAAAGTGTAGCACCTGCTCATTCTTTGACTGCCTCCAATTCAGACAAGTCCATTCCAGGACCACAATCCCAGAGGATTTGAGCTTCATCCTCTGCCCGCATGGGAACACTCCAATTTTCCAGTGTCATAGCTCAAAAACTGCTTGGCATGAGGGTGATAACAATGGAACTAGCATGGAGTTCTTTGTTTTTCCAGAGACTGTTGGAAGGCCATGTGTATGATGTGAATTGTTGCAGGTTTTTCCCATCGGGCCTCGTGGTTCTGAGTGGGGGAATGGATGCCCAGCTAAAGATCTGGTCAGCAGAAGATGCCAGCTGCGTGGTAACCTTTAAAGGTCACAAAGGAGGTACAGAGTGCTTAGCCTTTAAAATGCTTGGATGCATTTGTATTAGATATCCAGAGTCTCTTTTTTTCAAGCTCCCAAAACTGGAGTAAAAAGATCAGTAGTTGCAGTATTAGACAGCTGCAATGGTTTTTCTCGCTGACCTGCGTTTTCATCATGAATTAAGGTAAAAATGCAGCCGATGAGCCTGTTGGGGAGTGCCAGAGGTGGAGGCAGAAGGCATTCTGCTCCTCCAGGGCAGTCCCAGCTCCCCAGAGCTCTGGCTTGCATTCGGTAGCCTTGCTGCCTGCACTGCGCTGGGCATGCCTCCTGCTTGCACCCGCATCGCCCTGCTCACCTGCAGTTGCTCCACAGCCTCTTCTGTTTGTTTTTTTTTTTCTTACCCAGAAAAGCATGTGGCAATTTATTACGGACTTGCAGAACTCAGGCAGGTGGTTACCTGCCTCGAGGACACGGGCTGTTGCAAGGAAGTGAGGCACTGTGAGAGAAGCTGCAAGGATGCTTGAGTGATTCTTCCTTAAGGACTGGAATAAGCTTGTTCACCCTTGTACCCAGGGCAGGTGTTGAGCTCTGCCTCTGCTCATGGTCTTGCTGCTGAAAACGAGAGTAAACTCTTCACCCTCCTTGTGTCTTCACGGAGAGGATGCACTGACCACCTTATGTGGTGACTTGAGTGCTGTTCCTTGTGTTCAGGGTTCACACCACAAACTCCTCCAGCTGACACTTAGTCCCAGAGGAGGACTACAGAGAAGAGCCTCTGTTGTTTTCTGGAAAGAAGATTTGGTTTCCAGGACCCCTCGTTCAGAAGCAGTGTGGGTTTATACGTAGGACTCAAGCAGGCTGCCATTTTACTCCTGTTTGCACCTGGCCCAGAGCACAGTGGCTGGTCGTGCTGTCTTGCCACGGTGGTTGCTTCCTAAGGAATGCCAGCTTGAACGCCCGGGTGGTCACGAGCAAGTCCAAGTCAGTTGTGGATATGGCATCAGATGCCCAGAACACCGCCCCAGGTGATCTCCTCCCTGAGCAACTAACTGCTCTGGAGAGGCTCCCGTTTTCCCTGTCTCACGAGGTGCAAAGCTTTATTGGAAAGATTAATAAGCCCTGTGGCTGGCTGCCCAAAACTTAACTCAAAAA